GGAGAATCAAATTCACTTCCATCCTCACCAGATCAGGACCAAAACGTCCTCGAGAACTCGAAAAGGATTCTCAACTAATCGGCCATTAGACCTGCGGCACGAGACCGGCCGCGAGAAAATACGGCCGGCATTCATCTGATATGATATCAAGCATGAATCTATTAAACACGATCCCGGGTAAAAAGGTGATCGTTGATTAGCTGTTAATTTGTGTGCTCGCGAAAGAGGCCCCCCTGTCACTCAATAAAAGAGATTGACTTTTATTGAGATCTTTGAACACGCCTTTTTTCGTTGCAAAAGGTTTAAATCCAAAATAGGGCAATAGTGATCACTTAACATTTTGATGATCGTACATTTCATGGAATTTATGACTTTTGCAGCTTTATGTTTCTTTTTTATACGTAATAGAAGATCATTAGTGGTTTATATTTGAGAATCAGTTTCATGTATCAGATATCAGATATACAAATTATACAATGGTATATCGTAATGTCACTATGAAAAATTGTTCCAGTTATTCGAATAATCCACTCGACTTTAGCATTCTTTGAATACCTTCATTTTAATATACCAGTTTAGCAATTCCTCTGGTAATATCTTATTCATTATAATCGAGCTATCAATCCTCTTACATATTATAAAGACTAAAATAAGTTGAATTGTTTGCAGAGAGCAAATATGAGATGCACGATTTCTCAATAAAAAGTTTCGGCTGTAGTTCCGAATACAACCGGTCGCCGATCAAGATGAAATTTTGAGGGAGAGGGGGGAGGAGGGAGGAGACCCCAAATATAAAGTGATATCTTCGGCTTCCTATTAGTTTCCGAGATATTAATTAAAAACTTTCGTACAATACATAGAATTTTTCCTATACAAATGTAACTAACACAACCGTCTTCGCTGTAGTAAGCTGACATCGTCAAGTGCCGAATAGCCGTTGACACAGCGGGGGTTCCAACCTGACTATCTATAGGGTGTCCTATTTAAAACTTTGGAGATACGACGACTGTTGTAGCGGCGGCCGGAAATTTATCTAGCCTAATATAACCTACGTATAAGTCAAATGTGTTTAATTCCTTGAGAATTAGTAATAAAATATAAAACATAACGTAATGTAACTAAAAACATGGATTTTACATGGAACACCCTATAGAAACGGAAGACGACATCGCTATGGTGTGAACGGCTGTTCGACACTTCACGATGATGGTTGCTACAGCGAAGTGTTCATCATCATAGTTGCTGTAGCGTAGTGTTAGTTGCATTTGTATAGGACAAATTCTATGTATTGTAGGAAAGTTTTTAATTAATATCTCGGAAACTAATAGGAAGCCGAAGATACCACTTTATATTTGGGGTCCCCCTCCCTCCTCTCCCCTCCCCCTCAGAATTTCATCTTGATCGGCGACTGATCGTATTCGGAACTACAGCCAAAGTTTCATAGACATTTCTTATTTTATTATTTTTTTACTCTCCGCACGGATTCAAAGGTCTTAATGTCTTTTTATGTCATTTCAAGTTTGTTTATAATTTATTAATTAATTTTAACACTATTAAAACGTTAAAAATAGTAATTATATTGATTTTTTTCTTACTCTGGATCCACCTTTGTTACACTATGTCAAAATATCGCTCGTAGCGAAGCAAAATGGAATTATAAGCAGAAATATGAAATCCGATCAAACTGATTTGCAGTCGTTAAATAACTATAATTGTATGCTGTGCGGTAGAGAGGGTGGCGTTAATGAGAAATGAGTTTGGAGCTTGTTAACTGGAAATCCCCGTTCGTATTCATTCTTCGAACCGCGTTCAAAGGATACTCTCCACGGTGGTCACGTACGTGATAGAAAATTAAAACTCGGACCATCGTGGTAGAACTTCAAACTATCGATTTATCTTTCAGTGAGAAAATGCCCGAAGCCATTTGAAAGCTTACAATTTCGTATCTCGGCTATCATTCTGGTCTCTTTCTACGTACTATATAACACACAATCGGTTTTCTGTAATAATCTAAATTATAATAGCGTAGTATAAAATATGTAGGTAAGTATTCTTAGAAGATATAATTTCGAAGCAAAAAATTAATCCTAAAATGGCAGAGGTGGAATCGTTACACTATGAATAACGAGGGTTACACCGTAAAGTCGGTGACGACTCTAAAATTTAGAACGTAGGATTTCCAACTTTTTTGTGCCAAATTGAAAAAATAAGAATTTAGGAATTTTTTTATCAGAGTATCAAGAATCCTTGCATTACGCTTTCCTATATGTAGATACCAAGAATCCTCGTTGTATGCTTTCCTAGAGGTACCAAAAATACTTGGCTCATATTTCTTCAAACATACCTAGGGTTGTCTCACTATGCTTCTCTAGATATGACAAAGTTCCTCCTACTGTGCTTCCTCCTATGAATAGCAAGGATCTGTCCGTATAATCAGCGACACACGTTATATCGTTACAAATTGTAACAACTTACAAAGGGTCAGAAGCTCCCTTATTGACCTAATTTTGTATAACCCTTGGTTTACAGCTAACTTAAAATCCAAGAAAATCAATTAATCACCCAATATTGCAATGCAAAGATAAAAGATTACAAATCTGAGGGCAATAAGGACACATAACCGTGATTCTAGCAGAGGAAGAAAGGGTTTCACGGATCGTTCGTTCCAGAATCGCTCTCTTTTCGTCGATCCGCGGAGATCCGCTTGTCCCCGATGGTGTGTCCTCGGCTAACCACGCTACCAAGCAGAAGAGGTCTCGACACATAATCGATATTCAATCACGTACGACGACGATATCCTCGCCGTTGGCCCAGTTTCGAAACAGGCGACGGCTGGCGATGCTGGTTCTCGCATGGGAGAAAAATCCCGTGGCTGAATCCTGGAATTCCAATATATCGCATAGCTACCTGACGCCTTTGCAATTTTCCTAGCCTCCCTTAAGGGTAGATCGAATCGAGCAATTGGAAACAGGATCGAAGATCCTAACGTCGATCACTGATATTTATGATCCTTGATGAATGAAAAAGTTCATCGATTGTTTAAAAAATTGAAACACTCGGCCGGAAATTGGAAATACGAGTGGATAAAGGTGTCATGTCAGGAATTAATTATTTAGAACAAAATTAATATAAATTTTACTGCCACTAACAGCAATAAAAAGGAGATACTTTTCCACTTCTTAGAATTTTTTAAAAATAAAGCTATAATTCTCGTTTTAAAATTCAAAATTATTATAAAGATGGAATAAAATAAATATAACAGAAACTTAACAACGTATATATGTCTAGTGAATGAATTTCATTATCCACAAGGTACCGAACGCACAATTTCATCTCATTAAAAAAAAAAAAGAAGTATAAGCTTAAAAAGAACGCTAACAATTAATTCACGATCGGTAAGTCGCAATTTAGATAAATGCTCGGGGTTCAACGACGAAGTAACGAAGCCCGACGTGAAATAAGTGTTCCCGGTATTCACAGCACTCCTCCCGGCTGAAAGGTATCTTGAAACTGGATAAAATTTATTCTATGGTACCTTAGAAAGTACAGGGTTGTCTCGCTGGAAAAATTTCTCCCCGATAGATTCTCTTCTGTTCATAGAATACTCGGAGATGGTTACCCTCTTTGTAACAAAAGAGGATACAATCAGAAGCTTTCTGTTCGCCTTTGAAGATTTCGAATTCCCAGCCGAGACGATTTCGCGAAATCGTGCAAAGACGATCGCGGGGAACACGTAGAAATTTTTCAAAGTATATGAAACCAATTGTGTCCAGAATTGGTAAAAGAAAAAAATTATTTTCTATTACAAAAATTGACTATGCAGCTTTTCTCTACATTATTTATTTGAAATAGATTAATTAATTTTAACGCTAAATTAAATGTTACAGGAAAATTATAATTATTATTTATTATTACAGTTTTCCCCTATAAACTCTAATTTCCAAGAAAAATAATAGAGAATGGTTGTGAATCGCAGACTATTAAGACAGAGGAAATGCGTGTATACTTTCCGTCCACTTGATCCAGCAACATTATAACTCTAAGAGAAAGAATGGGTTCTCGAATGGTTGGAAGAATGACGGTATCGACATCTTCGGATTAAACTTAATCCGGTTGAATCGGCATTCTCATGGAAACCACAAGCGCGGTGCACTTTACTTGATTGCTTGATTTAACGTAAACCTAGAAGAAAGGAAGGGAATAAGAAAAAGAGGTGGTGGCTGGTGCTGCTGTTTCCGAGCAGCAGCTAGAAGATACGCTTTGCTTTGCTTTGTTTGCTCGCGTGATATCGTGGTGGACTTTCGTTTCAGTCTCGATTTCCGCGCTTTGCCGCTCTTCATAGGGACATTTGTTTCCACGGGATGCGACGACGACCGTCCCGCGAAACTGTGTCTGAACCGTAAAATGAAACTTTCCCAGGTCGGCCGTCGTTCTCGGGAAACGAAATGAAACATAAAGGTGACAAGGTGAAAGGAACTGACTCGATAAAATTTTATTCCTAGACGGCCGGATATTTGGATGAAGATAGCTTACAGTAAAAAAATTCACTAGCTATCTAAATAATTTAACACTTTCACGGCCTCATATTTTACTCAATGAATTAATGAATGGAAATTATTTTAAAATTTGGCCCACAATAAATGTAGGAAATATATTATTAATATTTACACAATTTTTCTTAGAATTCTTAGAATTATTTTAGGATTTCTTAAACTTATTTCCATTCTCACATTTCATGGCATTTATTTGATATTTCTAGACAGGATTTATTTATCATTGTTCAATTTTAGACAAAATTTCCAAACAATTATACAATTTTGCCATTTTATTGTATATTTTGAAAATATTATCAAGATGTACAACTTATAATTGTCATATAATATTCTTTAAGCTATAATACATAGTCTTACAAACTATGGTATTAACTTGTATTGTTACGAGCGAAACGACAAAAATTAGGTTTTTTAAAAAAACTCTTATTTCTACATTATAATGTTAAGAAATGCGATTATTAAACATTTGATGCAATTATAACGTGTTTACACTTGAATCGGTTAAATACAACTTTAAACAATACAATTGAATCGCTAATAATAAATGAATGCGAAAGAATCCGGAATCGAATGACGTTTGGTTTTTTTTATATCCTTTTTTATCTTATTTGGTTCTGGTGAGATTCTTTACTTCTTTTGACTCGTAAAAGTATAAAAACTTGTTGGCTTCATTCTAAAATGATGTACGACTTCTATATTAAATTCTGAAACACAAGAACGAAAACAATGATTTACCGCTATGCATACTAACATAAAAATTGCTTATTTCAGGAAGAATGTTCATAAACCTGTGTATGTAACTAATACTTATTAACAATTGTTAGTATGTATCTAATAAATATGTATCCAACACTTATTAATAATTAACCTCTAATACACTATTAATATATCTAATACTTTTATAGCTATAATAATCAAATTTAATGATCAAACATTAAAATACGACAATTAACAGTACAAAACTATTTTTGAATCCTTATATCTTGTTTAGAACAGCAAAGCTAGTGAAATTATATATGTATATATAAAGTCGAAAATGTTGAATGACATTTTTTTTAAAAAGACCGACATAAAAAGAACATGCGACTCTATCTACTGTCAAATACTAAAAATGAACGTTCCTATTTTTCTGATAGTGAGTCCAAGATATACATTTACTTATAGTTCTCTCCATCACCACCAGAATGCGTATTTTATACGGAGGCTCCTCTGATGATAAGGAAGAGAACTATAATTCGGTTAATTTTTTGCAGGCCCTTTCAGCAAAATAAAAAAGCTCGCTTTTGACACTTAACGTTAGATATCGCCTCATGATTCCTAGCTCCACCACTTATTTAATAATGAAGTTACGTATAAAAAAGTATCACTTCAATTTTCTATTTACTTTTCTATATAGATTGATCTCATTCCCGACTGTACCACCACATCGGAAACTCGTGTTTCCGCAAATATGTGTTTACTGTAAATGGTAAATGAATAGCAAGATTTGCTAATAGTTTCAAGTATCCTCTGATAGATGGCACAGCTATTTAATTCTAAAACGTGATATTTTAGAAAATAATATAATAATATAAAATACATAACGTTGAAAAGATAATATAATCCTGCTAATAGATCTCCAATAACTTAAATATAATTATTAAAAAAAAACAATATATAAAATACAATGAGAATAGAAGAAGTAAAAATGACGAACTTTACAATTTAATATCATTAATTTCTATTCTAGAAACAATTAACCCGAAAGCACTAAAGAAAATTAACCTTATTTACTCCAAACACCACAGATAAGAGAAATATAACAACAAAAGCGAGTCGTGATATCCTCCTCCTTCGATCGTTGAGTGCAAACTGAGCCACCACAGCCTGCCTGCGGTCGGCCCTGTATCGTGTCTGTTCGGTAATCATCGGTAATCGTCAGTAAGTATGACTTTTCGAAAAAAGATTACATAATAAAAATAATTTATTCTTTTTTATCACTTTCACATTCATTTTTGATAGGGTTTCCTTAATACTGTCACTCTTGGACTTTAATACTGGAACTACCAATGTTTGACGCACATTTATTTTCAAGCTGACAATAATGTTGATTACTAAATAGGTAAAGGATGAAACATAATTTAATATATACATTCATTCTTTAGCTCGATAACAGACAACATACGTTTCAACAAAAATACCTCGACAAAATTTATAATTTAACATAAGAAAGAAGAAACCAGTCATTTTGACCCCTTTGGTAGTTCTAGTGTTAACAATTGTCTTTGGTCTTAGTAAATTGTTATATAAGAAATAATTATAACTGTACAGTTTTTAATCATTATAAATATAAGATTTATAATTGTGGTTACTATTTATCTCGCAATATTTTCTTTTTAAGTAGAAAAAGAAAGCTATGTAGCAATTACTTAACTACTGAAATGGCTCTTTGTTAATCAACTCGTGTCATCATTGTTAGTGACACTGTCGTTGAAAATTATTACTCAGGATAATTAATTACGAGTCCTAGCTTCTGTTAAAGCTTTGTTACATTATGGTTCATCAAACTGCACATTACTCCAAAATATGAGAAGGAAAAACAGAAAATTTGTAATATTTTTTATTTAAGAACTTTTTGTAATCTTTAATTTGTTATTCTGCACAGTATATGAAATTCATGTAAGTAAATTGAAAAAATAAACTTTCCAAGAGTTTGAAACCAAGCTACTAGGAATCGTCTAATAACAATTTCACTGCTACTCAGCATACACTCTCCAATAAATGAAAAAAAAATTATCATTCCACCGTTAAGTAAGAAAAAATTCCAAATACTTGAAACAAATCTTCACTTCATTGTACAATCGCGGTTCGGCACAGAAATCATGAGTAATCCTCGTCCGTAACCTAAGAAAAAGTGTTATCAAAGTTGGAAGATGAATTTTCCGCTTCTAAACTATATTCGCCGTGAACAGTTCGAAGAACCAACCGAGCCAATAAATTCGACTCCAATGTCAACTCTAACAACGATCCATCCTGACCAAGGGGTTGCCCAAGTGGGAAGGACAGTTCAATAGGGTGGAAAGAAACGAGTAACGTAAAGAGAAGGTGGTAGCAATATAGCATCGACAAAGCTGCGGTTTCCGATTTAGTAGCACCACTTTATATACAGTTCGGAAAGGCTCAAAGAGGGTCGCATAGAAAATGTAGGGGATAGGAGGTGTCCAACTTAAAAGTCTAACCTCCAGAAGATGTAAAAGGTGAAGCAGAGAGAGACAGACGGAAAAGGTAGAAAGTGGAGGAACTTGTAAGGCAACGATGAAAGCCCACAACTTGAATACTTCCTTGTGTTTCCTTCAACGGGTTTTCCTGTTTTCGTTTCTGTGAAAATAAAATAATTTCAAAAAAATAATACAACCGACTTCGATGTGGGCTAAAAAGTATAAAATAATTTATATTTCATTTATACAACTACCATGCAGAGATAGTAAGTTGCCGAGCACTAATAAACTGAACTGCGCAGAGGCAAGGGGACTGGGCCGCTAGCTCCACCTAATCCCTTCCAAGATCCCTCCTCTCGAGGTGTCAGTGATTACAGTTGTTACGTGGCCGATCGCTAGGCAGCGCGTGTGGCTGGCGGAGGCTTTCGGATGAGAAGCTGCGCAACTTATATTATATGTATTATTAGCTGTGTTACCCGGCGCTGCCCGGGTGGTATTTTGTCTGAGTGTATGAAAAAAAAAAGATGAATGCTGAATGCGGGAAGCAGCACTGACAGCGTTGCCATTCATCCCTACCGCTGAGGTATGAAGGTATTCCCACTACTACGTCAACACAGCAGCGGTGGGGATTAGCAGTTCTGCTGAAGTGTTCTGCGCTACGATTTACACAAACGAAATCAACAATATTTTATACATTTTCCGATGCAACAGCGTAATAAAACTGAGCTTATGTCCTTCGCAAGGTTATAAGGAACACGTCTAAAAAAATCGGATCAAAATCGAAGCAGTAGATTTGGAGATTACCCTGCACAAAGAAAATGCTTACAGCTTTATATATTAGTATAGATTGTCAATACAACCCGAGCGGTTAGGTTGTATTGTTGTGGGAACTGTCACTGGATTCTCTGGGTTTGAAGAAAGATGCTAATGTGGGTTTGACACAGTAATGTATATATGTATTTTACATATGTGGCTATTACAATTGTTCTTGGCGCGTATACATATAGGTGTGTATTGTATATTACCTATTTCCGCAATATGCTCGATTTTGACGTACTGGCAATGCGGGGTGTCATATGTGGTTGGTTTAAATGCCAAATAGAAACACTGATTCGACTCGCGGATTCTATAAGGTTAACTTTGCTCGAAGAGGACTTCAACCCGATCTCACTAAACAGCAACCAGCTCACGTTCGTACACGATGTGCTCAACACTAGATAGACTTTGGTACTGCCCCAGAGCGTTGGTACGAACGGGTTTATATACTAATTAGAAAGGGGTGATCTGGTTACTATTTAGATAATCGGGCTGGGCCCATCTGTTCGGTGATGTTTAGAGTGGTTGCATCTGATGTGCGATTACGGTGAACCCATTGCTTTCCCAAAACATTTAGTTCTGTTATCACTGGGCCTTCTGTTTATTTCAAGATCAAGTGACCTGTTTGCCTGAGAGTTTTCCTTTCCAGATGTTAACGGTTTATTTCTTAAGAGAGGCATCTGTCACGCCCAAATTGGGGTAAAGTACAAGAAGAACGAGGGTCGCGTAGACGTTGTATGGTCGAAAACTTTTATTATTCTGTTCTGGGCGAAAATTCAGGGACTTATACATATATGTATAGTGGAAGGGAAGGCCCCCTCCTACACCAGGTCCAAGGGTCAGTATGACTCCGGAGTTCAGGGATCATTGAGTGAAATATGGAGGATTCAGTGTCCACAGCCTGGGCCCAATCTTATCGGCTCGTTACACATGTTTAATAAAACAGTCTGCCGACGTGACACACTGTACAGACGTACAATTTCCATATTCACGGGGGATACAGTTAACTATAATTAACTTGAGCCTAGACCCTAGAGGCTCAAGGGGGTATGTGGAACTGTAACCCCTCCTCTATTAAAAAAATTGGCCCATTTTGGGGTCACCAGTTTCTTTAACGCAGACCAAACATTGGTTTATTATTATTCAGGTAATAAGGTTCAAGCAAAGTATATCCAGCAGCGCAACTCTTGAAAATTTATGAAGCCAAAAATGAATACGCATGCGCGGAGACAGCGAGTAAATACTGAACTTTTTTATCATTTACTCCTTCATTTTTTACGCGCTCTCTCTCTCACAGCATTTGTTTTTTTTAAAACCTCTGGTATTTAAACTGTTGCGATCCTCACCAGTATGAGTGAGTATAGCTGCATTTCGCTGAAGAATCGCAACCTCTTTTAGAGTTAGTTGAAAAGAGAAAAAAGTTCAGATGGCGATACTGGATTTACTCGCTGACTTCGCGCATGCATACTCATTTCAGGCTTCACATACATCAAAGGTGCCGACAGAGAGTTGCGCTACTGGATATACTGAGGTTCAAGTGGAAAGTGATAGCGATTCTGCGCTGTTATTTAAGTGAAACAAATGGCCCTGTTCAATGCCGCCTATTATTCAAATGTATGTACAGCAAATGTGGCGAATTCATTGACCCGGCCTTCAAATCAGCTGTTCTGCCGAACGAGTGGTGGGGACCGACACAGTGACCTAATGGCAGTTACCTGCTTTCAGCATACCGGGTTAATTTAGGGACGAGTGGGTAAGTTTCGTTTCAATTTTTTCTCAAACTTTTCATCATTAACGTACCCTCCAATTCAAACGTTTATTAATTATTCTATTGCAATCATTTTTATTTGTTGCTTAGAATTTCTTTTTTACATTTTTGTGACAGGCAATAAGAGATTGTTCTGTATTCATTTTAAGTAACGATTAAAAATGTTTAATCAGTTCAATTTATTTATTTTTCCAACTTCTTCTGCTCTACCAGCAAGGTGCCGAGTTGTCCGCTTGGGACGTAGACCAAGCCCGGTTTTCGTAGTTGACACTACTGTCCCTGAGCCCGCTCAGATTGGCCAGTGTTATTCCTTAATAATTTAAAAACGAAGCTTCAAGCAAAATTTTCGCAAAGGCAAATGTTGTTCGGAATCATCCCTGCTACCACCCCCTTAAGGGGCTTACACTCTTTCTGGGACACCCTGTATAAATATGCCATTTTTGCTGGGCATTAATGGATTTTTTATAATACTTGTTTTTAACAATAGTTGTTATTATGCTTTTATCGGCCAAACTCGTCCAATCTTTTCAAATGTGTTGATAGATAGGTGCATGAGATTAGACTGGTGTCGACCGACGTCGGCCGACAGCTTGGTTACATTATTTTGTAGGATTGGGGCGGGAACGGGTAGCTCAATTACCACTTCTTATGATTAATTGGTCAATTTTTATAAATAGAAGCGAAAACGAAAATAAAGAAAAGAACAAAAAAAGAATTGAGATTGAATTGACACGCAATCGGCAGCACAGCTATCCGCCGAGATCTCACAGCACACTGAACTAGATCGTCGCTGTGCAAAACGCAATGGTAAAAACAAAAGAAGCACCATTCCACAACTCGGCCATCCTACCCTTCATCCGCCCCGGATGATAAACTATTTAGCACCCATGCCTTTACATATTCTGCACAGGTGGTCGTTGTCTTTGGGCCATCGCAATACCCCTCTTTAGTTACGTCATAGGTGTTACTATCTTTTACTTTGATAATTCGATAGGGTCCCAAATATTTCGGTTTCAATTTACTACCTGGTTGAATCTGTGTACGCTTAATAGCAACTAAATCACCTATGTTATACGCATTCGCTGATTTTCTACGCAGATTATATGTCTTTTTGTTTTCATTTTACACTTTAAGAATTTGTTTCTTCACTTCTTGCCGTCGTTTTTCTCTGTCGCTATTAAAATTATTAACAAGTTCAATTTCGATTAATTCCTTTAACATAACATCTGTTTTCCCTTTCATTTTTGTTCCTAAGAGGAGTTCGAATGGTGTCATGTTTATACTTCTTTGGTAGGTATTGTTTATTATTCTTTGAATGTCGCTTATAAATTTATACCACTTAGTAGGATCATCTAGAGTTAATTTAGACAAAACAGAGATAATTGTGCGATTTAATCTTTCTACCTGTCCGTTAGCGCGTGATAACGCTGTACAGTAAAACCTGGATAAATGCAACGAAAGAATGATTGGATAAGTGCAACATCGCTATCCCCTCCACTTGGGGGGATCCCCCTAGGCGAACCGAGCCGCTCGACGAGGAAACCGTGTAATATGATCTGACCGTAATATCGGTGTGACTAATACTAATTGAACGATAAAACTTTTTTATTTTTAACTTTTTCTTAATGAAACTTTTACTAACGCATTTGTGAGATTTTTCTGATTAAAATGACACCAAACACGATATAGGTTGAATGATATTTATAAACAATAGTAATAGAATAAACAACATAGAATTGACACCACGACTGAATATAAATGATGTGTACGGACGCAGAATCGGCATGTCGGATAAATACAAAACATGTGTACGGACGCAGAATCGACACCTCGCTTGGATAAATGCAGCATTAAATGCCCAGAATCGCCACCTTGCCTGGATAAATGAAACCTTTGAAACCAAAGCCGACACCGCGACTGGTTTTGATTTCGATCTCTGTTGCTTTTCGCCGACCTTTAACATCAATTTTAGCAAGTAATTATAATTGAAACTATATCGTGTTTGGTAAAATTTTAATCAGAAAAATTTCACCAATGCGTTAGTAAAAGTTTCAATAAAAAAAAGTCAAAAATAAAAAAGTTTTATAGTTGAATTAGTATTAGTCACACTGATATGTTTCGGCTCTTTCCTTTCATCATCGGACCTCTCTCTTTCCGCCACTGTCTGTCCCTTTCTACGTTCACGCTTGGCTGGTCGTCGCGTGTAATCCGAGATTCGACACCTCGCTTGGATAAATGCAACCACTGAGTCCCAATCTTGGTTGCATTTATCCAGGTTTTACTGTATCTTTGTTGCAATGTCTCTTTTACTCATTGTTTTCTCGAATGCTTGACAATCAGTTACGATTTTAAATTTGATTCCTAGAAGATAAACACGCAGTCTTTTCAACGCTTCTATTATAGCTAATACTTCTAATTCATAACTAGAATATTTCTTTTCTGCTTCGCTTGTCTTTTTACTGAAATAATACACCGGATGTAATTGATTGTCATCTAAAGATTTTTGTAATAAAATGGCACCATAACCTTCGCTACTTGCATTAGTGTGTAATTTCGTTTCATATTTCGGATTATAAATATTTAAATTTTTCTTTGTCACCAAAATTAAATGTAATCTCTTTTTTAAGCATATCACTTAAGGGTTTAGCCATTATTGTAAAATTAAAAATAAACTTGCGAAAATATCCAGCTAGTCCGAGAAAGCTTCGCACTTCTTTTACGGTTTTTGGCTCTGGGAATTTAATTACCGCTTGTGTTTTGGATGATGAAGGATATATACGGCCATTTTTTATTACCTGCCCTAAAAATTCTACTTCTAGTTTCAAAAAGGCACACTTTTTAAGATTTAATTCTAATCCGAATTCTTTGGCTGTATCCAGTACTAACTTTAATCTTGAAAACGCTATGTCTTCATTTTCAGCAGGAATGATAAAATCGTCAATATATGGCACTACGATTCCGTCGCTTATTAATTTCCTAAAAACATGATTAACGAAACGTTGGAAAACCGCGGGAGAATTACATAAACCAAAAGGAACTTTTTTAAATTGAAACTGACCTTTATATGTAACAAAAGATGTGTATTTTCTGCTACCTTCCTCTACAGACACATGGAAAAACCGTTTTTCATATCGAGCGTCGGAAAAATTTTGGCATCATGCAATTTATCAAGCTGGTCTTCTATTAGTGGTAGCGGGTATCTATCCTTCACTATTACCTTGTTGATCTTTCTGTAATCTATGCACACTCTTGGCGAACCATCTTTTTTTTTTACTACAACTATAGTGCACCGATGACAAGATGTCCCATGAGACAAATGCAAATGCGTGCTTCTCATGGGACATCTTGTCATCGGTGCACAGTACTTGGCTACAAAAGTCGGATGCGCAAGGTTCAACAATATTTTCCTTGATCCATTCCTCTACCTGTTTATTTACGGTTTTGCGATCTGTTACTGGCAAACGTCTAGGTCTCTCGAAAATTGGCGTTTCGTCTTTCAACACGATTTTCATTTCCACGTCTGTACTTCTTGTTATTTCGGGTTTATAATCGGTAATTAACTTTTCAATGCTTTGACGATGTTCAACGCTCGCGCTTTATCTCTACCTACTATTACATCTAAATATATCGCATTATCCGGGACAACATAAATATTACATGGAAAATCAGAATTATTAATGTTCACGACAGAAGAAAAATAACCTAACGTGGAAACCGTATGTTTTCCTAGTCTCGATAAAGTAACATCTACTTTGTTTAAAACTGGCGCATTCAATTTATCAGCCGAGCTTGTCCGAATTATGGTGAATTGACTTCCCGTATCAATTAATGCATTTAAAGGAATGTTGTTAATTTTAATTTCTTTTGTCATATTATTTGAACGAAGAACAGAAATGTTATTTATTTTCGGAGAAGTAACTAAATTTTCTTTCTTAATACTCGGGCAATCGGACGCAATATGACCATGAGACTGACATTTGAAACATTTTTTCCCTAAAGACTTATCTTTACAATCGTTCGCATGGTGTCCTTTCTTACCACATATGAAACAACGAATTTTGCTTATGGTTGTCTTACTGTTAACGGCGGGTTGTCCTGGTGATTTCGAAGGTGCAGCAGGAGATTCTTTGTTTCTTGTTTCTTGAACTTGTTCTTTCGATACAAGCTTCCGTTGGGTGCCAGTCACGCTAATGGCAACTCAAAAAAAGAGGAAGGGTAAAGGGATATCGGGGACTTACAAAAAAAGAGGGATACGCGACACGAGCGTAGCCGGCGCACAGTGGGACAAAACGGCTTTCGATGATCAAAATTCGATCTTCGTGAATTCGCAAATTGAAAAACTATTTGCGTACATCGATAGAGAACAAACTATTGTTTAACGAAGTGTAAACCGTTTTTTCATATTTGCTTCCGTTTTGCTGTGGTCCGCACTCAAAGTCAGTAGAAATTCGTTAGAACAAAACGCTAATGATATTATCCGTAACTTCAATGTACGATTATAAAGAACTTTACTCGGAAAGATAAAATTCAAATGAATTATAAAGTTTACTAGATTAGTATAGATTCTATTCAGTGCATAAAGTAAGTTAAAATGTTAACAACTTTTTAAATAATAGGATCTAATTGAAACGAAGTACATTGAACTAAAATCTTAACTTTGTGTATGATTTTAAAAAATTGCAACCACTTGCGAGGGGTTTAATTATTACTGCAGTAAAGAGTGAACCTTCCTCTATCAGAATCAGAAAAAATTGGTTGCCCCTACTTGCCCCCGTTCAAGAAAATGGCGATTGAAATAAATTACACCCATCTTGGCCGCTGCGCACGATGATGGAAAAACAGTACCAAATACGATTATTAATCAGTTAACTGCATTCGACGTGTATATTAGTCATTGCTTGATTTTAATTACATATCCCGTGAGAAATTTTCAAAACTAAATCTCACAGTTAAATATTCAATATGTATGTCGATATTAACTTGCCGATCCTTTCTACAGTGATTCTAATTTAACGAACGAGATAATCATTTTTTAATTATTAAATCCGTTTCTCTTATAGTTATTAACAGTTTTGAGTCAAATTTTTGTTAAATGACATACCTAAAATATATCTAACAAGTGAAGGATATTGAACACGTTACACTTTATACGTGAATATTTTAACACCATGTAGTTCAATATGATTTATATTGGTATAACTTAAGTACCATAATATAGGCAAAAACTTCCCAAAATTTTATTAAAGTATTTCTAATAGAACCGAAGTTACAGACTTTTGATCGCCGACAGCTATTTTGTCACACTGTGCGCCGCGCCGGTGACTTATTAGTGATGAGTTCGAGAGCAGCTTTCATCTGGCTGTTTTGGCCAGGCGGTTGATTTGTAAAAGATACAATATTTGGAGTTCAGTTCGTCACAAGTCATACGTAATTCGATGTCTGTCGCGACAGTGAATAAGAGTTAAATATAATCTTTTAAGAGTTTATATTGATGATAGAGAAATATGCCTAATAAAATTTCAAGTCATTGTTCACTAACAATAATTTCTCATTTTATAGCATATTATAAATTTAATAAATCTTCGTTCATTTCTTAAGTATTGTCACGTAGGCAGACCGTTTTTATCAAACATGCCTCCTTTCAAATAAACTTTTAACATCTGGAAAGGAAAACTCTCAGGCAAAAGACCACTTGCTCTTGAAATAAACAGAATAGCCATAACAGAACCAAATGTTTTGGGAAAGCAATGGGTCCACCGTAAACATCACCGAACAGACGGGCCCAGCCCCATTACACAGTCCAGCTTTGAACTTTTTCTATGATCTGCAATATCCATTACGTGATTCTTATATTGATTCTTATACTACAAATTCACTAACGCATTTACGCCGCGTCGGTGAGTGAATGCGTGGCCAACTTCACTGCGACAAGTTCAATGCAACTCACAGTGTACAAACTACCTACGGCACCTCTTTTTCAAACTTTGACAAGCACTTACAAATATCAAAAATCATCAAAAAATATAATTGTTCACACAGACGTATAGAGGAAAGTCTCCTCTATCTTTTGCCATAAACTTGAATTTCCTCGCATTTTTAGTTTTCATGTAATACTTCATTTTTTCCCACAACCACACATTTTTACAAAAATGCCTGTTTCTCAAAAACTGTACGTATAGGAGCAAAACGGTTTGCAGATTCGTAATCAGTGTACAAAAGCCTATAAGAATCACGTAATGGATATTGCAGATCAAACATCGTGTTGTACCGTGTTATCTAAATAGTAACTAGATCACCCTTTCTCATTAGTATATAAACCCGTTCGTACCAACGCTCTTCGGTCAGTACCAAAAGTCATCTTGTGTCGAGAACTTCGTGTACGAACGTGAACTGGTTGCTAGTTAGTGAGATCGGGTTGAAGTCCCCTTCGAGCAAAGTTAACCTTATAGAATCCGCGAAATCGAGTCAGTGTTTCTATTTGGCATTATAATCAACCATACACACAACACCCCGCATTGCCAGTGCGTCAAAACCGAGCATACTGCGGAGATAGGTAATATACACATTACACACCTAATCCGCGACAAGAACAATTGTAATAGACTGAATTGTAAAATATACATTACTGTGTCAACCCCAGATTAGCATCTTACTTTCAAAACCCAGTGAAACTAGTGACAGTTCCCACAATGATACAACCTAACCGCTCGGGTTGTGTCATTTTTTAATAATATAAGTTACGCGGCCTTTCATCCCAAAGCCTCCGCTAGCCACACTCGCTGCCTAGCTGCCGACCACGTAACAATATCAGCTTTTGTTTTTTAAGCAAAAGCCTAATTAATACAATAACGGGTAAATATTTAGAATAAGGGAGCCACCTCCGATTTCGATCACCTTCAAATATGTTGTCAAGGTCGTCATTCTGAACAACTTTTTCCTATACATATAATAGTCGGACTCTTTTAGTTTGCTAGATATTTGAGAAAATAGTTATCTTAAGGCTAGATAAATTTTCGACAGCATTTTGCGTTCAGTAGAGTGCCTTGTGTGTATATATACATATATCTTGTCATTGACTCAATGTACAAAGTCATCAGTGAACTAGACATTTTTTGTATTTCATGAACTGTGTACGACTAATCATTGTAACGTACAATTATATAAATATCAATGCTCTAAAATGAAATTCTACGAGTTTTTAGCTCTAACCACAAATCGCGACGAATTATTGAATTATTTGTATTCTAAAAATGTTATTCGTCAAACAATAAAATGTCCACAGTGTGGAAGTATTTTAGAATTAAAGTGTTTAGAGTCATTATGTTTTCATTGTACTAACCATTATTATAAACAAATAATGAACCGTAAAAGAAAACGATTAACATGCAATTTTAAAATCAGTGCATTACATAGGACCTGGTTCTCAAAAACAAATTTAAATATTTGTGTAGCTTGTCGATTAATTTGCTATATTTTAATGATGAATACTCGTAGGCAAAGATTTCTCGAAGTAGAACTTAACATTTCATCTTCTACAGCAGTTGACTGGACTAATTTCTGTCGAGAGGTAATTAATTAAATGCCTATTATTATTAACACTGGTTTATGAACTTATTTTATTAATAATTTTTCAGCTTATGTATGAATGGTTGATAAAAGACGAAAATCAAATTGGTGGGGATGTAATAGTCGTGGAGATTGACGAGGCAAAATTTGGTCGCCAAAAATACAATCGAGGACGAGTCATACAAGGACAGTGGATTTTCGGTGCTATTGAACGACACTCAAAGAAGTTTTTTGTTGTTCCAATAGCGTCTCGCAAATCGGAGGTACTGTTACCTCTAAATTTGAAGAACATTGCTCCGGGAACAATAATTTATAGCGACTGTTGGAAGGCGTATGCACAAATAAATAAAGATGTGTACAAACATTGCATTGTAAACAACTCTGCAAATTTTGTTGATCCCGGTTCAGGGGTACATATATAAAATATTGAAAGACTGTGGAGAGCAGAATTCATATTTTTAAAAAAATTCGATTTTTCTGAAAGATTAGATGCGTTTCTCAAAATAATGGGAATTATGTATCCCTTGAATGAAAGTCTAAACGAATAAATGACTAATATGTGCTCCATTTAGCATTTGACTGTATTAAGCTTATACCTACATATACTATCCGTTCATTAATCCCCACATGTGTTTTCGAAGTACCTAAAAAAGTCCATCCCAAAGGGGTTTGGGGTTATCGTCGTCGTGGGGGCGGAGCCCCCCAAAACAATAGGTGAGATCCTAGTTGCGACTTATTCACTCTTGGAAATATTGATAGTTAAGCGCGTTATTTTCTCAAATATCTCGCAAACTAATAGAGTCCGACTATTATATGTATAGGAAAAAGTTGTTCAGAATGACAACCTTGACAACATATTTGAAGGTGATCGAAATCGGAGGTGGCTCCCTTATTCTAAATATTTACCACACGGTTTCATTTTTGAGAAGATTGAGTTTGAAAATTGTTGAAAATATTTCCAAGAAAATTTATTTATGGTATCGTGAACATAACAAAAGGTTGAGAATTGCGTTGCATGTGCAATTATCCTTAAATCGGTAATATTACGTCATCGAGGACATCCTGTAATCTTGTATTTTGAAATAACTTCGAAATGTAAATTTTTTCGGAGGAAAAACTTTTTAACTGAAAGATCGTGTAATCTAAGCAACGTATACAACATGACGATACTAAATTTCAAGCTCTTAGATTTCCGATCGTTTGCACTCAAAGGGTCCATTAGCGGGTTTGCGTTAATTAATATTTAACTTCCTGACTGAAGCAAAGGGTATTTATTATGCTTTGTATCGGGTGTCTGTAAACTATACTCGGGACGTGGTTATGATAGCTTAGTTTAGTTAATTTCCAATTTGTACATAGACAGCCGACTAAACCAGCCATGTTTAGAGCGTTACTTTATTGAATTTTTAATCGATAATTTCAATAAACAATTAGCTCAAATTTCAAATAAATCTATTCCATTTTAGAAATTGCTTTGTGCCCTAATTTCTTTAGATTTTATATTTCCAAATTAGCGTTTTTCAAAGCTTCAGTTTTCAGGTTCTGTAAAATCCTGATTTCTAGATTTCAGAATATTCTCAATACTAATCTTTACATTTTATACATTTCAAATTGCAATTTGTAAGTCTTATATCTGCCTCAATTCTAAATTTTATGTTCCAAATTCTCCAAAAATCTGATGGACTGGGTGAAATCGTAAAAACAGGCAAATCAATTATATAATTTCTTTTCAATTAGAAATCATTTTGAAATTACTTGATCCTGAGGATTGTCAATACCGTGAGATTAATAGTCGTGGTTGGAGGGTTGCATGAAAATTCTTGTTTACTTAATTAATTAAATTTCGCTTTTGATGTGCGGACATCGTGATGAAAGGAGAGTTAGCATTGACGACTCGTCGCAAAGGATCCACAGTTCGCTAAATATAATTCACCTAGAACGGGAAATGTACTGCCAACTTTCCGACATCATTCAAGTGTTTGCCCGTCCAAACTGTGTCCATGTTAGAACGCTCATTCTCTCTTTATGTCCTAAATTGTCGACTATTGGATTACATGCACCTAGTTTCTGAATATCAGTAAACAGTCATTGAAATAGTACGTCGACGTTCTGTCTACGGTGTTAACTTTCTGTTCTCTAAATCATTCTTCTTCTCGAAAGACTCTAATTACATCTCTCTTTTTAATTGATTAAAAAAAAATTAAAAATTAAAAGAATTTTTTTTAAGAAACAATAGCGTGATAGTTTTTTGTTCCAGTTCCAGAAGGTCTCTAATTCATTTATTAACCGATTTCGAAAAGTATTTTCTTTTTTTTTTTTCTATGTACGTTCACCGATTATTTCGAGACGGATGGACCAATCGGAACAAAACCTTTTGCATCTTATAAAATGTCTCCCAACTGGTCCGGTAAAAAAGACATTTTGCATTTTTTTATTGCTAACGATTTTTATTGCAAAAACGTACTGTTTCATTTATATGTTCGGCGTTTATTCTGCAAGGACTGTACCGATCGTGATGAAACCTTTCACATCTAGTAGGAGATATTTCCGCGATGATCCCACTTGCAAAAATTTATGGAATTTGTTATTGTTAATAACTATTGTTATTGCAAAATACTTCTTGTTTAATGTTTACAGTGTATAGTCATTACTCAGCATGGAATGTACCGATCGCGATTTTTCAAAATTGTCTCTGGAAGTAGACTTCGTCAGTTTCTTTACAAATTGGTCGTTATAAGAAGAGTTGGCTTTCTTCTTCATGTATCGGTCGCTGGAAGCTGATTTGGACTGTTTCTTTGCAAAAGAAACCATCGCCATCTTTGCACATCTGCGAATGTTCTTTTGTCATGCGGTTTAACGAGGACTTTGTTTGGCACTAAATCAGATAAAACTAGACCATCTAAACTTTTGACACGACTAACAATAAGAGCAATTTTTGACCTTTCGCAAAATTCTTTTTGCCAAGATCAATTACAGCTTTATTTAATGTAGTCCTCTGTAATTTGTGCACCGTTACTGCCCAACTTAGGATAAGTGGTAACATTCTGCGCTCAATGTCTCCGTAACCTTACGTCGCCTGAAACGTTGCTGCAACTGGAGTTATTGGGATGTAACCATCGACATCTTTAAACCTACTTCCAATGGATTCGTCGTCCAATTTTATAAGTATTGAGTCCGGCAATTCTCCCTGTACCAGTTGATCTCTTCCAAGTGCCGGTCATGTAAATTTCTTTAATATTCCCATTGCGCCGTTTATCAAACCATCAGAAATTGATATATTTCGTCACAGCATGATTCGCGATCTTCCAGCTAAACATATTAGTTAACCGATACGAACGGGAAAACACCTTATGGTATCCTATAAGTACTGCTCGTTCCACTAATAAGTGTGAAATAAAATAATTCAAGAAAAAAAATGCAACCGACTTTGAGATGCGCTAAAAAATGTAAAATAATTTATACAATTACATGACAATTATTAAGGAAACCTATTGCTGCATTAACAAAATACGCTTAAAGGTATGAAATAATTTATATTTCATTCAACAACTATTAATAAAAGCTACTTAATCGTTAAATAGTATATTGAATACATTTCAACTTTTTTGGAGGAGGCGCAAAATTAAAAACTTTTCTTCTACTAGGAAGATCCTAGCTCGAGCGTCGGCAACCTATGACAAATGACTCATTTGATAACTTCAAGTAAACAATATACAACGGGAATCAACACACTCATTGCGAATTAACTACATGTACATCAAAAGTACTGCCAACTTCTAATACAATCATTACAATTACAAATGTTTTCACCCGTACATATAACGTTGCGCATTTTATTTATGACTTATTAATTACCAAGTTTGCCATACCGCAATCAAATCGTTATTGGTAGCATCATTTATTAGGGTATTTTTAATCTTACGCCGCCTCCGAAAAGGTTGAAATGTATTTAGTATACTATTTAACGATTAAATAGATTTCATTAATAGCTTTCAATATCCATCATAAACAAATAACCACGCGACTGTTCAATTAACAAAATATTGGGGCTTATCGGTAATTAGAACAATACATAATCAGCAAATTGGTATTGCACCACTTATTTTTATGTATACTTCATGATAATATTTTAAAAATATTTTTCATACGTTATTAAATGATTAGTGTGTATTCTTGTGTAATTAATAATTAAAAAAAAAATGATTTTATGAAAAAAAAAAATTGGACATTCATGGGGCGCGAACCTGCGACAAAAAACTTCCTAGCGGTTCCGCGGTCGGACACCTTAACCATTCAACCACCGACAACGTTGAAAAACTGTCGAATATTTTAGGAGATAACGTGCGTAATTTTCAATTATTTACAATAACTTCACTCTCTCCATTCAGATCTTGCTCCATCCAATGCAGAAATGTTAGAAATCACATCATGCACTAAGTGTGTAAAGGAAATGTAAAAATTGAAAGCATTTCTCATGTTATCGCACGAAATATGTCGAAAATATCGGTTTTTGTTTTTTTTAAACACGGCGCACCACACTTAAAAATCTGAAAAAAATTGAGGACACCAGTCATACTAATATCTAACTACTGTGAAAGTAAAAATCTAGTGTTTTGAAAGCTTCTACCCGAAATCTCAATTTTTCTACTTTTTTTTGCGTTTTTGATTTTTCACGTCTAGGATTTGCAACCGAAAAATCTGAGAAAATTCACAATCATAAAGAAACATGGCCAGAATATTTTAGAATTTTTTCAGATTTTTTGAACGCCATTAAATAGGGAAAATATGGCAAAAACCACTTTTTCTTTCTCACCCTGTAACTACCCTCCCAGTTGAGATACAGGGTTGAAACTTGGTGTACAATGGTTTTTTATTATAAGCTATAAAAATCGGCTCAAGGGCACTTTTGACCATCTTATCCTGCTATTCCCTTTTTGCAAGTGGGATCATCGTGGAAACATCTCCTATTAGATGTGAAAGCTTTCATCGTGATCGGTACATTCCTTGCAGCCTAAACGCCGAAAGATATAAATGAAGCATTACGTTTTTTGCGATAAAAGTCGTTTGGAATGAAAAAATGCAACATATTTTTTTTACGAAACCAAGTGGGAGAAATACTCTACGAGATGCAAAGAGTTTCGCACCGATTACTCCATCCATCTCGAAATAATCGGTGAACACACATAGAAAGAAATATATACTAATCGAATTGAGTAACCTCCTCCTTTTTCGAAGTCGGTTAAAAAGACTCGGCGTTACTCTGTCGGTTTACCCGCAATAAATCCCTACGTAAAAAGTCTTCGCGTGGTTTCATTCCCCTTTTGCTACTATGGTTCAAATTCGGAAAAACCGCGTTGGTACGGTAACGACAACCGCTTGAACGTAACAGATTCTCAAGAGCTGATTCTGTTTTATCAATATAGTAAAGACCCAATAAGTGTTCGAAAGGATCTATCTTTAATATTTGGGTGCTCTTTGGGTTGGGTGCGTGTGGGTCTTACTAGGATCTTAATAAGATAATTACCTGCTTTATTCTTTGGGGCGCCTAGAAGGGTTTTTTTGGCATTAAGGACAGGTGCAACATTTTGAAAATCTTAATCTGGCTTACTAACTATACAGGGTGAGGAAAAAGTCCGGGACCGATGAAATATCTCGAAAGAAAAGCATTTTAGGAAAAAATATTTGATACATAAGTTGTAGTGTTTCAATAGATATTTGACCTTGAGCGTAAATATAAGGCGTAAGTCAAGTTAAAAATTTTAAATAGAAACCCCCACTTTTTATTTAATATTCTTGTAGCTGACATCGAGAGCTTTTCAAAACACTTCCACCAGCTTCTTTCGGTTGAGTATTTTTCGAGATATGAGTTGATAAAATTCAAGTACCGTCGCGTCGGCATTAGCAGTAGCCAAGGTGTACCGCGTAGAGGTTGTCAAGCAGTAGAAGGGAGGCAATTCGAACATCAGCTATAATAGCTTCTTTACCTGATTTTTGCTCTGTTGGTCGGTCGGTTAGCTTGGTGATCATACGACAAGGAAAGGAAAATGTTACAAAAAGTTAACAAAAAAAAAAAAAATGGATTTTACATGGGTCACCCTATAGAAACGGAAGCCGATATCGCTATGGTGTGAATGGCTGTTCGACACTTGACGATGACGGTTGCTACAGCGAAGACGGTAGTGTTAGTTGCGTCTGTATAGGAAAAATTCTATGTATTGTACGAAAATTTTTAATTAATATCTCGGAAACTAATAGGAAGCCGAAGATTTTCGAAAAGCCTTTATATTTGGGGTCCTTAAAATCGGAAGCCTTAACATCTACGTGTATATAGCACATTAGCAAAATGCACAGGATCCTATTTAATAGAATACAGGACAGAATTTTACAATTACATTATTCTTATTGGTCAACCTATCGATGTGTGACGCCCTCATAGATCTTGATGATCTTCAAATATGTTGTAAAATACGATATTTTTTGCAACTTTTTTCTTTGGCAAATTCAGGGACTATCTTTGTTTTCGAGATATCTTTTAATTCGAGAAGTTAAAAATTTCATACTTTTTAAATGTTAGATTTTCAAGATTTCAGAATTTCTAAGGGACTTGGTCCACCCTCCAGAAAAGTCCTAGTTATGTCAATGCCAATTACTAATTTTAATAATATTGAATTTTTTAATTAGGAACTTTCTAATTATGTTAGTCATTTTCCAATTACTAAATATTATCGAAGTTCTTTGAAATTTCTGAGATCCGTCTGTAATTATGAGAGGTAGGTGAGGTACCAAAAACACCCAACATTTTTTATATTTCCATATAACACTAATAAAATATCCCCCAATAAATACATCTGAACACCAAAGAATCAAAACAAAAAAAAAATTTAATTTCTTCGATCGCAGGTATCCACTCGTTTCAGAATCATGCAGCAAAGTATTCCCTCGTAAAAAAGAGATAAGACATCGATTGAAAAGAAACAGGAGAGGAATTGAATGGAACGGAACTGTCTCGTTTCAGGCATGCCTTTACCTGGCCGATTGACAAAGTCCTTTTCCTCAACATTTTCTCTCGTCGGTGATTTTCAGTCTTTTAAACGCGTCAAAATCAACGCGCAACAAGCACCTGGATATACTTGAGAAATCCTGGTTGCCTTGAGACGCGGTCAAGGAATCACCGGGAATAAATCTGTCCGCACAGATTAAAAGGATACTGATAGATCTCGTGCTGAAAGCGTCGTACTGAGGCGTCAGATGAAACCGAAAGTCTCCAAACGTTCTCATTTACACAATTCTCTTAAATATTCTCACAATTGCTTAAAATATTGTCGATGTATAAATTCATCCTCCGGTAACCTTCATCTATTTTTCATATTTCATTATTTTTGGCTATTTGATTATTCTATGTGATAAGTATACCTCATCTAGAAATGGTTTTGAAAAAGATCGATTTAGAGTCAGACAAAAACTCATTTCACAACTGCAACTTTATGGAGATCGATACTTTCGAAATACATAAAAGCTACGATAGAGTGCCAAAAGTATTCGCCTATTCCATTATATGTCCGTTTCTTTATTTCACTTTCGGTCCAAGATCTTCTTCAACCTTTAGAATAGCTTTAGTTCACTCTTGTGGCGTACAGTCAAACTTACCGATGAATATAAATGCCAAGGGCAAAACAGTCGACTTAATGCCATCTCTTTGGAGAAGGTTCGACTTGACCTCGCGGAGTATCATCAATCTCACTTCTTGCCATATACCTTTCCATTCACATTTTGCGAATTGTCACGTAAAGTGTTGGACGAACTGGTTGTTTACCTATGTACATGTACATGAATTTGTTGGAAAGTTTAAGTTAATACTAATCATCAGACTGGTAATGTTTATGCAATTATGGTAGTCTTCCAAAATATGAGAGACTCATTAATTATTATTCATATTCATGGTTTGGAACATTATCAAGGTTGTTTCGAAATTTGAATTCGTCCCTAAGGTTCTCCACAATGTTAATGATTAATATCCAATTGATAAAACTCCAATATTATTATTGATTAACTTAATCAAATTAAATTAAATTTATAATTAAATATAATATAATCGTATTATAATATATGAAATTTAACAAGATTAATGGTAATTATTTAGAAGTTGGCCCTCCTCACCGATTTTCGTGACCTTGAAATATGTTGTCAAGGTCATCATTCTGAACAACTTTTCCCTATACATGTTACCGCCGCTAGGCCTTAGTTTCCGAGATATTTGCAAAAATCTTTAGTTAAACTTAGGTTACGAGTACACTGTATTCCGGGAAAAATGGAGACTGAATGGTGATTGAAAGAGTGATTGAAGTGGTTTGAGGTTAGGGTTAGGGTTAGGGTTTTGATTTTTTCACGTTATAATTACTCTTTCTTTCACCTTTTATATATTGTATACCTATTATTCATTTTGTGTTTCGGAAACATTTCGCCCATCATATCGAAAAATGCAATTATACGCTCATTAACATCATGTTGACGTCGGAATAAAATCTCAGCTGTTTATATATCCCACGTCATGAGACGTACGAGTTCCATAACGAGGAATATTAACTCTTGTATCACGCCATGTACGCTCTAAACCTAAATCTAACCTAAACCTAACCTAACCCTAACCCTAACCCTAACCTCAAACCACTTCAATCACTCTTTCAATCACTATTCAGTCTCCATTTTTCCCGGAATACAGTGTACTGGTGACATAAGTATAACTACAGTTTTTTACGAATATCTCGGAAACTAAGACCGAGCGGCGGTAACATGCATAGGGAAAAGTTGTTCAGAATGATAACATTGACAACATATTTCAAACTTCTAAATAATTACCAGATTAATTTATCTATAAAATTATTAATCAGTAATACTACTAATTAATATATTATAGGTAAAATAAATAAAGACCATTAAATGTGAAAGGAAAGTGTAACAAATGTAGTATAATCACAATTTTATAAACGTATTCAAAAAATCATGGCGACCAACTTGTACCGTTAGCACCAATACCGTTTTAATTACCACGTTACAGGAATATCAATAACATAAACTTTTTTGGTGCTGAATAGGATCATGTACCTCGTGCTTCCTTTCGATTATATCAACTCCATTTGCCAGCAATAGAGTCTCTCTAATATTTCTGCACACATTGTTGGAAAGCGTGAAAGCATACATAAAGAGGACGAGGATGCTGACAACGAATCTGAGAATTTTTGCTCCGTGGCAAATCGACTTGTCACGAAATCCTATTGCCGGTCGTTGCATGTTTCCAACGTTCTCGGTTTTCTCTGAAACCCGATAAAACCTCGCCATGCTCAAATTTTCAATACGCTTAGCCCAATGATGCTCATCTTCAATCCGAATTTCCACAACGAATACTCGTATATTTCATTATGACATATTAGTAAATAACTCTTTCACTTTGTTATATTTTTGTTATCTAAAGACTGGAATAAAAAGTTAAAAGTTACACCCATATTTTATAGAAAAAAGATCTGAAGGTTTTATTTAGTAATTGTCCGCGAGAAAAATTTTCAAATTTCAAAGTAAGAGTGAAGTCTTGAAGTTACAACCAGATTTTTATAAACAACTTTGTTGCTTGAAAATTTCACAATTACAGATACTACTATATCCATTAATTATATCTTAATAGCAAGCTCCATAGCACTATAATGAAAGACATTTTCCCTGTTCTAAAAAGAAAAGATCACGTTGTAATCCACAAATTTAGTAGATAAGTTTCCTGCGGAACAAGAAGTTCATAGAAGGCGTTAAACAAACCATCGGCATGCTAACCACATGAGATCGTTTTCGACCCTGGATCTTATAAATCCTTTTTTCTTTTTGAATCGTTCATCTTTCATCTTATATGTATGCTCCTCTTTGGTGAGTTTTTCACTGCAGCCATAGCTACTGAACTCAAAATTTCAGTTTAAGAGCTAATGATACATGTAGGTACTAAGGCAACTATGTACTTTCCTTCCGTTAATATATTTGATCTGAATACTTTTCTTTGCATTTCTGATTGATACTAAACTTTATTTATATAAATAGAAATCCAAAAGGTTGATAGTCCAATATGCTACAAAGACGCAGTTTGGATAATAAAAGATTTAAATATTAAAGTATCCGAATAAAGGATATTCAAATACACCTATCTATGTCGAAGTTGTGCAGTAATAAAAAATTATAAATTACATAAAAATTAATATTATATTATATTTTATATTTATTATACATATACGAATTACTATTTAGAATGTAAAAAAGAACAAAATCTTTTACTAAGATCATCACAAAATACTGCAGAACGAAGGCAATTATTTTCAAGGACAAGGAATAAGTATGAGAGTCCAAAAGAAGGGTAGAATTCAAGATTTACCTGAATATTCGAATGAGGAGAAGGATCAATAAACAGATGCAATTTCTAGCAAGCTATCTAGGAAAACAACCCATTAATGATGATTCAAATACAATCACAATTGACATTAATAATATTAAAGTAAAGAACACTCGTTGATTTAATAAATCCGAAGTTCATAAATTACACCAAACACCAATTTCTTATTCGCAAACTTTATTCAATAGCACTCTTTATATGAGATTTTATCTCAGAGTCTTTCTATTCCAAATGGAATAAGATATAATGAATGTTGTCCAGGAAACACAGATCCGTTGTGGAACCTCTTTCAATGGAATCCATTAAAACTGTCATTACTCTTCAAAAAAATTCACATATTCTATTTATGGAGCGTAGTGAGATATGCTGTTGGATTACTTACAATGCGTCAGCAAGTAAGCAAAAATAAATTTAGTATATTTGAGAAGCACTGCGTGCTTTAATGTTTTGTTTATGGACCAGACGTCAACGGACCCATAGGCCTGGGACTGTTTATACCTGAGGGCCTGGGTAACAGACTGAATGCAGTCTTGGTCTTTATAGAATCTTTAAGTGGGCAACAGACTTTTAGCTTTGTCCTTACGGGCTTTCTAGCCACTTCGTGTCAAAACGTCATAGAGAGAAGACGTCCTTCCTAGCCTTAAAATAAAGTATTTTGTGTTGAAATATACTGTGAATTTTATTATAATAATCCCCATAATCTAACATATGCCATATCAAAATTTGACTATCATTATTTTTATCTAAAAATACTCTTGTAGTCTTTCCGTAAGTCTAGATCATAGATCTTTGATAGGTTTGGATTTACCCGACCATAATCCAACAATTCAAATCCATAGCATCTGGAACCAATAAAAACTTAGTAACGACACTCGTCAATGATTCTTTCAATCAATTCTTTATCTCCATGCAAAAACAGTGTACAAAAAAGAAACATTCAATTTTCCGAAGATCCGATTCAGTAATTTCGCGACAAACATTGTCCCTTCCTGTTTCTTTTGACCAATCAAACTCGTCTCCTAATCGATCCGCTTGCAACGAATCCAAAAGCTCCGAAGCAGACGCCCGAGTTCTGGCAGAGAGTGCTTTCTGCCTGAATGAATGTCATTGGTCCCGTAAACGCGTCAAAGCGAGGACAAATTAAATTCGCAAGGCTCGATCTTCTTACAGGATCTCCGATTCTTTTCTGAACTGGTGATTATGTCTCTGATAGAGTCCTTCGAATCGGTATTGTCAGATAACCGTCACTGATCCTGCTACAACGTTTCCGTGAATCTCTCTTCTGTGGACGGTTTGTCAGCCAGTTTGGTCACAAAGTGATCCAACACATTGAGATATTCAATTTCAAACTTTCTGCACATGGCACTGGTGGCCAGGGTCAATTCGCTGTCTTTGATGAAGTCGAACAGATTAGCTTTCTTCAGACGGGATACGTTTGTCCGCGAGTCTAACAAATTCAACTGCATAGAATTTAACACCACTTCACCAGGCGGATAATTGTCTCCGTAAAGGTTTCTTAGACATGTTTCGAATGCTTTGTACCTGTAAGAGCTGTAGTTCGAGGTGATGTCTACTACAGGCAACACCTGATCAGTTTTGACAAACGTGCAGGAGTGCTTCACTCTTAACAATAGACGTTTGCTTGATTTCTTACGAGCTTCTATGCTTGATATCTGCGGTACTAGTGTAGGGGATGACGACACAGTCCTCAGGTTTGTTAAAGATATTTTGGAGTCTGATTTCACGTCGAATACAATTGGTGCTTTGGGATAATACTGCAGTAACTTTGGGGATGAACTTCTGTCGGTGGTGTCTTCTGGGCTGGTTGCGTAGTAATGGAAAACAGAGCATAGCTTCTTTGGATCCAGCTGTGAATTAGGGGGATTGTTAATATTTTGCTGTAGTTTTTAGTTGTTAAATTATTTAACACGTTGCACATTACATATGTCCGACTAATTAAAAGAAAAATATTCCTTTGAATAGTGTTGTTATTAAATGCTAATAGTACAAGGTACCAAACGGAAGGTTTGAAATTTAAAAATTAAATATTCCTGTTTTTAAACTATTAGAATTTTAATATGTCTTATAACAAATGTTCATTTTTGCTATGGTACTCAACACTGATGTAATTTGAACCTTCTTCTGGGATGAGCCAGGTGCTTTAGAAATTTTGAAAGTTTTGAATTTTCGAATTTTCGAATTTTGTAATTTTGAAATTTTGAAGATTTATATAATCTTGGGTTTTTCAAATATAAGAAATTTGAAATTTTGAAGTTCTAAAGTTTCGGAATTCTGGAATCTTAGAACCTTTAATTTTTGTAATGGTGAAGGGCTAGTCTAGATTTTTAGTAGAGTCAGATTCACTTAGTTACGCTAATCATACTTAACGTGTTAGTATGTAATATAATATAACGCCAATAAAATGTATGTACATAGATTTCAGAATCACTTACGATTAGCATGTGAAGTTGAAGGACAAAAGGGAACATAAGAATCAGGGTAAATATTACAGCATAGATGCTCTCCATGATGAAAACCAATAAATCTTCTCGTTCTTATGTAAAGGTTAAAATCTTCAGCCTTTGCGATGTCTTCATCGCTTCTTTGTTCTGGACGTTGGTGGAACACATCGTAAATTTATTTGTTTATTTTCTTTTTTAATTTAAAGACCCAACGGATGTGACGCGTCATCGGGCACCCGATTTGGAGATCAAAGATCTGTCATTTGTTTATGGAAATTCGTAACCTCTTGGTGTTAACCATTTCACAATTCGTTGACACTTAACGTGAATACATATTCTGTTAAATTTTTATTCGTGAAAATATGAAACATTTCAAGCAAAATCATTTCACTCATTTCACTTCATTTCACTTTTCATTTATCTTATCTACCTATATATTTTAAATAAAAGACGCTGAAATTTATCCTACAAATTTTAAGGCCAATTTATATTGTATTTACAGATAACATCACTATTGTGTCGTGCCGAACGATGTATGTCACATGCGTCGCGAGGGACCGCGCGGTTTCTGAATTCCTATTTGAACTTGTAAGTTTCAAACTAACTATAAGGCCCAATCTACAATAGATAGAGTAAGGAGTAGAAGTAGAAGTAACGATTTTGGCGTAAAGATGCTTACGCTGGCTCCGTCTACAATACGATGGAGTAGAAAGAATTAAGGGCCAATCAGAACGCAAGAGAAATCTCGCACATTTGCCGTAATTTTCCTCCTGCGCTCTAATTGGTCGAACGTAACAAAAGCAGGAGTAGGAGTAAGACGAAATGGAAATTATTTATTTCGCTTACGCCCTTACTCTAACTCCTTACGCCGCTCTTCAGGCTTACTCTTCGTAATGTAGACAGATCAACTTCTTATTGTAGATCGGGGCTAATAGTCTCGCGGTCGTCGCGGCGTGGTTCTTTAAAAACTTAATTCGAAAGAACTAATTGAAATCGTTGTTCCTCTGCAAGTGGACACACGTGTGAAAAATATCATGAAAATTAAAAATATAATATTTCTAAAGATATTAAGATAAATTATATTATTTTCAAAAACTGATTCTAATTACTATAATAATTGTAATTATAATGATGGGTTAGGTGACCGTATATCAAGCACGCCGTACGGTTAAGTACACGTTATAAAAACTTTCACTGTTTAAAAAAAATATTGTTTTTGCTATTTTCTGTAATTCTGTAAAGATTGAACGAAATCAGTGCTCCAAAAGTGTTGTTCTACCCTCATCAAAGATGGCAAGGATTCATATCACATCCTCTCTGGAGAAGCTGTACCGGCCATTCACGTGTCACCATCCTAGTGAAATTCAATGATATCCGAACATTTAACGAGATCTCGTCTAGCGTTGCAAGAGAAGAGGAGGCCAGCAATCGAAAGGTACTCTTCTCAACCCTGCGAAGCTATCTCTAGCTAAGAGCAAAGACGATACGGTGTGCTACTGCAAGGTTTGGCATTGGGTTTTAAAGGGTAGGAAGGATACAATATTTCAGTGTAGCGACAAGGAGCAAGCCTGCTTGCCACTGGCAAATTAATTAAATTCCTACAGGCTGGTTGGAAACGGGGTTGGTTGGCCGACGAGCCGGCCAACAGGGTCTTGTGTTCAACTCGTGGGAATATTGTAATTAAGATATGCACTTCTATCCTCCATTTTCCTTCCTGTAATCACCTCAACCTATCTTGGAATGATTTACGCTTCGAAGAACACGGTATTGTCTGTTTCGACCGTTTCTAAATTGTACCCTATTATGGTCGGGGTTAAGGTTGACGACCCACAGGGATGCTTCTTCCGGTTTACTGTGCCAATTCCGATAATGAAATTATTCGACTCTGATTGACATTTAATACATTTCTACTTATTGTAAAATTGTGTACAGATGCAACTTGACGACTGATTGTGAGAATTATACGTTTTAAGATTGGTGGGCATAATTTCACTATATTAATATTTAACTCTCAAATAGTAGACTTAGGCTGTGGGATTTTCAACTTCCAACTTTCCAATTTGAGACTTATTGTTAGAAGCTCTTGAAAATTTTTACAGATCGAAAAAAATATTTTAGAAATTATTTCTTTATCAACTTTAAGGATCAATCCAGCTAATTGGCGACGTACAGTATATAGACTTTGGGCCTTAATTGTAAGACCTAAGATTCCTAATTTCCATCTCTCCAATTTGCAACTTAGAAATTTTCTGAAATAAAGTTATTCGTCAAATATTATGTGGAACATGATCAGTTTTTCAATTGAAAAAGTATTTGTTTACTCGAGATGCACGAAATAAGATGAACTAAAGTAGAAAATCACGCAAAGCAGCAATATAATACTGACTAATTCTATTTCGTGCATGAAACAATACGATAGAACGGTTAAACATTGTTCCTCTAGAATTAATATTGCGTGAGAAATGAACATAAGCGTCGTCCATGAGTTGCTGGCAGTGTTCAAATGTTTTTTCTTTATTCAATCTATACGTCTTACGTGGACTATATTATTTAAATAATCACCTTGGTATTTCTGAATCGTCTAAAACATAAGTCTAACATTGTACTACTCTTTTTTTTTCAAAAACATGAATAATACCCTTGTTGGTGTATATTGATAACACGGTACAACACGATTTTTGATCTGTAATATCCATTACGTGATTCTTATAGGCTTTTGTTCACTGATTACGAATCTGCAAACCGTTTTGCTCCTATACGTACAGTTTTTGAGAAACAGGCATTTTTGTGAAAATGTGTGGTTTTGGGAAAAAATGCAGTATTACATGAAAACTAAAAATGCAAGGAAGTTCAGGTTTATGTCAAAAGTTAGAGGAGACTTTCCTCTATACGTCTGTATGAACAATTATATTTTTTGATGATTTTTAATATTTGTAAGTGCTTGTCAAAGTTTGAAAAAGAGGTGCCGTAGGTAGTCTGTACGCTTTATTTTTGAATTTTTATGAAAAATCTTTTATCTAGCACCAATTTACTATTGAGTATTGCATTCTATGAACATTTCTGATGAAAAAACCATTCACAGAAAGTATCAGTATGGTTTGGTGTTGGAACAAATAAATAAAATATCCGTCGACAACGTGACTACGACGCGTTGCCGCCAGACGGCCATTGTATGCCTACCTCGCCGCGGCAGTGCCGTAACTACGCGTAATCCGTATACCCACGGTATCCTTTAATAACTATTTGCTCTTTAACAGTAAAATTTATCCGACGTGGACATGAGTGATATAGCATTCATTGTATAGCAATATTATACACACTCATACTAAGCAAAAATCTATTAAAGTGTTACAAATGTCCATTACGCGTAGTTACGGCACTGACGCGGCGAGGTAGGCATATAATGGCCGCCTGGCGGCAACGCGTCGTAGTCACGTTGTCGATGGATATTTTCTTTATTTGTTCCAACACCAAACTATAACGATACTTTCTGTGAATGGTTTCTTCATCAGAAATGTTTATAGAATGCAATCCTGTATAGTAAATTCCTGCTAGATAAAAGATTTTTCATAAAAATACAAAAATAGCGCGTACAAACTACCTACAGCACCTCTTTTTCAAACTTTGACAAGCACTTACAAATATTAAAAGTCATTAAAAAATATAATTGTTCATACAGACGTATAGAGGAAAGTCTCCTCTATCTTTTGACATAAACCTGAACTGCCTGGCATTTTTACTTTTCATGTAATACTGCATTTTTTCCCACAACCATACATTTTCACAAAAATGCCTGTTTCTCAAAAACTGTACGTATAGGAACAAAACGGTTTGCAGATTCGTAATCAGTGAACAAAAGCCTATAAGAATCACGTAATGGATATTGCAGATCACAGAAAAAGTTCAAATTTGTTGGACTGTGTAATCAGATTCCGACATTGCAAAATTTGTAAACTCGAACGCACGTGCATCATTTCCAGGTCGTTAATGAACTAATTGGCAGATCGTTAAATAATAAATTTTCAGTGCTTTTTTTTATATTTTGGTTGCATTCCCATTATTCAATGTTCACTAAAATAACAATAGAATGACCTACTTTGACTAATTTGATTCCAGTTAGACACAAAACTCAAAAAAAAGCTTTCAGGAATTATTAAAATTTTCCGATAATTAACCCATTTAGAAATATTAATAAAAGCACGGACCTTTTTATTGAAAAATATTCATTTACAAACATTTTACGGAGTTAAAAGAAATTTATTTACGTAACGAAAATATTTTCCCTGAAAATTAATTTCTCTTTCTTTTAGATTTTATTCAATATTGAAAATGTAAATTCTTATTTGATACCAAATATCAATTTATAAATAAAAAATTATCTTTCGTGTAAAAATGAGAATAAATTAATTAAATCAGAAACAGAATATTGAAAATACATAGTTTTACAATATACTTGTTCTTGGAGCACCTCTTGATTAATTTCAACAAGCAATTTCAGATGTTCGTAAAGAATGGAATCTGCTCGTCCTTGCAGTGCTATGAACAAAAAAGGAACTAACCATTTAGTTTGTCCAAAAAAGTAAAAAGAAACTAGAGGTTCTGAAAGAGCTCAGCACGAGAAAAGGAAAGAAAGGATGGATCGAGGAGGTCGAAAGGTGGCAGAAGTAGACCGAAAGATGGATGAAGAAAAAACAACGTTGAAACGAAGACGGTCAGGTCATCCTGCCTGATCTGCCGGTGAAAAGGTGAGAATCTCGATTTGAGTGAACGTTCCTTAGATCGGCTAGCTCGAAAAACTCATAAAAAAGCTCACGGAATGCTTGGAAATCCTTCGGGAAAAGCCATTAACGACGATTTCTTCTAAGCCATCGAATATCCCTCTTCTTCTATTGGTGTCTTCCAACGTCAACCCTATTCCAGAGCTCCTTAAAGTGTCCTGGCCGATGTGTTCTGAAAAAAAAGAAAGAAGAAATCGAATGGATTTAGCGGAAGTGGAGGAACGTATTGTAGAATATAATTGAAGAATAAGAAAAGCAATATATATTTTACCTTAATTAAACATACAGCCAGAGAATCGATAGTGCACCAAACTTATTTTTGTGTACACTTAATGATAAAATATTTTAAAAATATTTTTTATACGTTATTAAATGAATATTGTGAATTTTTATGTAATTAATAATTTAAAAAAAAAATAATTTTATGAAAAAAAAAAATTCGACTTTTATGGGACGCGAACTTACGACAAAAAAGTTTCCAGCGGTTCCACAGCCAGACACCTTAACCGGTTTCTTTTTTTTAACGAACGTTTATTGTATCAAAATAGATAATAATTACATACGATACAATAAACATGACGAACAAAAGTATAATAACGGAGCTCACACAGTCTAATTTTTCGTTTCCGCTTACAATTGCACTTATTGCTACGGTATAATCGTTAGAACTAAACAAAGTTGCTTAAATACTAAATTTATTATAAAATACAATACACAGTGGGCACGAAACTGAATATTTCATTGAACACATACTTCTGCTTATAATACTAAAGCTAACCTAGATACCTTACTATTCAATGGTTAAAAGTTGAGCATACGGAAGGTTATGTACGAACTTTCTTGTACAGTGCACCGTAGCACCCCTCGCTGCTGAAAAATATGTATATGCCTACTCTGAAGAACCGAAGGAACGTGTTATCTGAGAATAATTTTTAGAAAAAGTTATTAACTTCTTTAAATAAATGTATTTTAATTAATAAAAGTATACAGGATACGTCATGCAATTGGGACGGGTTATATCTTGAATTTGGTAAGAGATAGGAAAAAGCTGTTTATGTAAAAGTTCAATGGTATGACAATGTCTATTTTTCTGTGATTTCATTTTCTTCGTGAATGCAACGATGCACTCAAAAAATGCAAATCCACTTTTTATTTAAATGGAATTGCATTTTTTTTTTTACTCGTGTCAACTCCTTGAAACATTCTGCATAAAAAAATACTATGGTACTACTAGAACGTGTTAGAACCACAGCCGACTCTAGTACTAGCCATGCTGAACAACGTGGCAACACCGCTCACGTCACAATCGGGAGTCTATTTTCAAAAACAGAGTCCTGTGCTCGGAATTGTAATTAACGTCCTTTTTAATTAAAAGCTGTAGTAATATACACTATTTTGTGTTAATTATGTATAAACAATATATAAACGTTGCAACTATGGCAAATAGAAGTGATGTGGTAGTATAAAATTGTTATAAATGTGATATATATTTTGTGTACTCTCAAAGTAGTTTGGTTTTGTGAAGCATGATATTTGAAATATTTACAGTGGTTTCAAAAAAGTTTAGGTATGAAGCAAAATGAAACCATCTTTGGATCAAATTGAAACATTTAAGAATTGATAAACGTGTATATAACTTAATAAAAACTTTGAAACAAGCGAAATTATTGGAACGAAACCAAAGAGGTTATGTGAAGTCCAAGAGAGTGTCGGGAGTCTGACGACGTTGATTGGCTGAGAGTCGGGGAGTCTGGGAGTCCGGGAGGCAGATAGAGTAGGGTAGGTGTTGATATATTCAGACCGGACTCCCGCGGTGTTGCCATTTTTACTTCAGCACGGCTAGTACTAGAGTCGGGGAAAGTTATTTAAAGGAAGTTCATGAAATAAAGTGGAGCAACGTATAGGAGGGACAGTAACGATATGGTTTGAGTGTGAGTAATTATATGAAGACATGAGAGGAGAAAAGGCGCTGCGAGTAAGCAAATGCGTATGGAATGAGTTTGTAATTTCTAATATAGGTTACATAAGTTATATTTAGCGCCTTAATGTAGCTAGGCAATATAGGGGGCGCTTGCCCCCTGAAGCGCCATCTTGGGCAGAGCCCAAGAAAACTAAAATACATACATACTAGAGTCGGCTGTGTTAGAACTAATAAATGGAGGAACCTTGGGTCCATCCAATAAAAGCTGAATATATGCAACAGAGATTGGGACCCAGACGTTGCATACATATAACAAAGATCTTTATTCTCGCCCCTCCGCAGCAGGTCGGTTCGACTTGAATGTAGGCAGGAAGCGAAATATGGCGCGAGCTTCTCGCCACTTCTCGCACTGATACATTAGTATATGTATGTATGTACTTACACTGAGTCCCATCGAAGTTGTCGCAGTGAAGTTGTCTACACATTCACTAACACATTCACACCGCGTCATCGGCACCTCGCCGATCGGCTCACCGACGCGGCGTGAATGTGTTAGTGCGCCAACTTCACTGCGATAACTTCGATGGAACTCAGTGGCTTCTCGCTTTCTCTCTACCCCCACTCTAGCTGAGTGGGTTGTGCGCATGCTGATCCCCACAGGCGTCACATGTATATTTGTAAACAGAATTTACAGTTAATTTACATTAAACTTTTTTATGAATTACATTAAAATATTTGTTTATAAGGATGAACATCCATAATTTTGTTACTGTACAATAATATCTTTGACATTATCTTAAAAGGGTAGTACAGGAGTAAGAAATGAAGTACTTACCTGAATTTACCTACAATTAGATTTTATTTGTGTTAATAAAGTATTCAGTGATTAAAAAGTATTTAATTTCTGTTATTTCTACAGCAAACTCTACACAGTTAATAACAGAACATGTACTCTTAACAGTTTTTCTTTTTTTATAAAGACAATGATTGTAGTGATAAAATAAAAATAAAGAAACGTTCGATTTTAGTACTGAAGTGTTTACAAGTACCTAATTGTATGGTATTTTATTGCTATAGTACACTTAAAATAAATTACATTATAACATCAGCCACAACATCTAACATATTACTTTTATATTTAATTATTAATCACTGTTCGACTTGCAAGACGCTTTGTCTCAATCACACTGTTCAACAACAACATACCCGAACGATCGACGATCAGGCGTGACAACATAATTTAAGGGTAACTTCTGCATTTTACTGTGCCTTATTCCCGCGTCTATGTATATTGTCTTGTAAATTACACAGTAAAATGAATGCTTTTTTTCACATTGCGCATTTATAACGTAACAATCGGCCATTGTAAACGATCTATACAAGAATATAAAAAAGTGAGGTCAGAAAAACACAACAGGTTTTTCTAGCTAGTACGCATTCATCACAAGTTCAACACACACCGCAGATGTTAAGATTTCTCGATCATTAGTGCACTTGGATAATTATCCTTATAAAATTTCGTGTATTGTTGCAATATACGACTGAAGAAAAAAAAACGAAAAAGAAAATGCCTCTTTGTTTGCGACCATGTATAGTAATTCCTGAGATATTAAAAGATTATGATACTGAAAATTGATCTTATCAGTATAGGTTTCTAAACGCTGAATGGTGCAAAACGTTAGTTTTTTTTATCTGTTGGCAGCAAATATATTAAGATAAACTTATGGTGAGACTATCCCCAAAGTAACTTCGCAAATACTATTTAGTTTCTGTAACTGCTCGTCTCCTTTTGTACGCTATTTATCACCAAACTAATCAAATACATTCAATGAAACACAAATACTGTTCAATTGGTATAAAGCGATACCAATCATTGAATGTTTTTTCTCTTGCAAGATCAGCTATCTTTATCATAAGTTACCTCATGTATAAGCAGTATGCTTTACAGTATAAATTTCTACAAAGCGCGGATCACTTACATCGTAAATAGCGCCTTACATGTGAATCCGACGAGTCCACGCAAAGAAATGCATAAAGATATTTCATTATTTCTTACTGACCGATCGTGAACATCAGTAGTTTGTCAGTTTGCACTTGAAGATACCGTACAATACATACATTATTCGATTACTGCAAACTGTTAACGATACTTACACCTAAGATCTCATGTATTCGTAATCGTATTCGCGTAAAGGAACAAAGGTTTCTTTGATTGATTGCGGCGATGCCCAGCGAAGAACGTAGTGAGGACCGCCAGCTTTATCATTTGTACCGGACATTCGACTTCCACCAAACGGTTGCTGACCAACAATCGAACCTGTCGATTTGTCATTAATATAAAAGTTACCAGCTGTGTATTTAAATTCTTCTAGAGCCCTTCTTGCCCAATTTCTAAAAAAAGAAGAAAAAGATTATAATATACAATATAATGAAACCTTATCTATTTGGGATATTTACTCGTCCTGTGCAAATATTGATCCGGTTAAGGCGTACGGTGTTGAAGATTCTACTAATTGCATCGTTTCGTCAAGCTGTGAATCTTTGTACACATAAATAGTTAATACCGGACCGAATATTTCTTCCGTCATTATTTTATCCTTTGGATCTTTTGTTACTACTATTGTTGGATCAATGAAGTATCCATGCCTGATGAAGAAAACTATATGTTAGAAATGATAGAGATAAAATACATATGTAAGTTAAATGTAAAACGATACATACGAATTATCATATTTTCCGCCACCAATGATTTCTAAATTTGGCGACTTCTTAGCATGTTCTATGTAACCAGAAATTCTCTTAAATGCAACTTCATCTATGACTGCTCCAGTGAACACAGTAAAATCTCTAACGTCACCAATCTTCAGTTTGTCACGAATCGATAAAAGACCTTCTTTTATCTACATAAATAATATTTCTATATTAAAACTTTGTTCGAAAAGGTATAACCTTTTATTTTAAAACTAAAATATATAAATATACCTTAAACCACAATGATTCTGGAACATACATTCTACTGCAGGCTGAACATTTTTGACCATTAAACTCGAAGGCGCTTTTGATAGTTCCATTGATAACTGATTCTACATCAGCGCTCGGATGTATAAAATGATAATTTTTTCCACCACATTCGCCTATCAACTTGGGATAATTCTTATATTTTCCCAAATTTTGACCAACTTGCATCCACAAACGATTAAACGTTGGAACTGATCCAGTAAAATTAATTCCGGTCAAGTAAGGTGAACTAGTAATAGTATCACCAAAAACAGGACCTTCGCATGGAACAAAGTTAACTACACCTGGTGGTACACCAGCTTCTCTGCATATTTTGAATATCCACCAGTTAGAAAGTAAAGCTGTATCAGACGGTTTCCAAAGAACTGCATTACCCTAAAAATATTTTATATTTGTTAATTTAGATGGAATATACAAATTCAACCATTAGATTAAATAATACAAACCATTAAAGCTGGCGTATAACTAAGATTACCACCAATAGCAGTGAAGTTAAATGGTGACACAGCAGCAACAAAACCATCCATTCCTCTGTACCTCATTGAATTTAATGTCTCTTTAGGATCAGGTGAGATTGGTTGGTATTTTAAGGCCTCTTTAGCAAAATATCCATGCATCTTAAAGAAGTCAACTAATTCTGCTGCGCTGTCGATTTCTGCTTGAATAACTGTTTTACTCTGACCAAGCATTGTAGAAACATTCAAATGTTGCCTATACTTTTTTGCCATTAGATCAGCTGCCCTCAACCAAATTTCTAAACGCTTTTCTATTGGACATTTATCCCACTCACGCTGAGCCTTCACAGCAACATCTATTGCTTTTTTAATTAAAGCAGGCGTTGCCCAATAGTACTTTGCAATTTTTGCTTCATGATTGTGTGGCTGAAAATTTATATTATTATAATCACTGATATTTATTCTATTATACTTGAGTAAATACTCAACTTACCATAACTTGATATCTACATAGGTCAGTTTTAATTTCTTCATTTCCAATGACCAATGGCACTTCTTCACACTCATTAGACATCTCTTTCAAGACCTTTTCTAATTCTGCCCTCTCTGGGCTACCTTTCTTGTAACTGTAAACAGGTTCATTTTCCAAAGGAAATTCAGGGGGGTTTGATACTGGTACTATGGAGCCTAAACATCTGGTACCAACTCTGTTTACAAAAATATTAAATATGTGTCATTTACCACCCAAGCTTACTTATCTCAGAATTTAAAGCATTTTGATGCTTAAATATTTACAAATGTATTTGTATTTGTATTTATTGTGACAATAAGATTAGAAAAAGAAGCAAATATTGGCTTTAAAACTTGTCTCCATATCACTTGCAAATGTTTATCTGTGTACTTTATATTAACAGCTAAATCATTTTATCTTCAACTTGAAATCTCAAGCCTCAAGAGAGCTATTCTTATAACTAGTTGTTTATCTCAAGAATATGATACTGGTATATTTATGTATATTCAGTTAATTATAAAACAAATAATGACAGTAATAATATGAAACTGTATGTACACTTTATTAATACAATCTTTAATACATTAAAACAATACTTTTATGCACTTAAATTATAATCTATAAAAATGTATTAAATAATTTATAATTATAAAAGTACAATTATCTTTTTTATATTGCAAAAAAAATATACGAAATACAGCTTTTTAAAATCGATCTAAAAAATGTCGCACGTATGTTACATAAATGAAAAGAGAACAGAAATTATTTTAAGGAGGGAAAGACGTTATTTTAAACTTGTGTATGTATGTACACGTGTCAAACACAACATGGTCAGAGTATTATGTAACATAATCTCAGTGGCCCATGTTATTGCGGTTATCACCATATTACTAATTACAAGGAATAAGATTCGATAACAATTGCGGCAATTGAATTAAGTTATAGAGATTAGACAAGCATATAAAATGAATGAATCGATCTAAAAATACACCAGTTTCGATTGGACAGTATGCTAGAAAGTTTATTATTCTGAATAATATGACCATATATTTTGTCTTTTGTTTCGTTTTTTCAATTTTTTTTTCTTTCTGTTATAATTCGTAAATTATTTCTGTTTTTTATCTATTAATTATTAAAAGTCATCAAAACTAACATTTGTGTTCCAACTAAGTGAATAAAGTAAATGCTTATATGGAATCAAAACATGTATCGATTGTCAAATATTGAGGCCATCGAACGCAATTCGAATAGGTCTTTAACGCATTACGGATGCGGCAGATATTACCAATGTAAGCTATGCATGTATATAAAAATCTATAAAATTATCATATTTCAAGCACACGTACGTGTTAGAATAAAAACACTGATTCAAGTTTGAAAAAAAAAATTTTAATTTTGACATACAATCCGCGTAAAATGTCTGTAAAAAATTTAAAAAGAAATATAAAAGTCGCTAAACAAGTAACATTCATATACATGCTAATAAACTTTGTGTACTTAGGTATATTCATTTACACAATTACAAGGAGTAATATTGAAAGTAGAACAACTACTGAATTAATTACATATCTAATAAAAAACATATTTTAATATATTTTTTTCCCTAAAAATTCAATAAAACACGTTAAAATAATTGTTTGAAAGGAGTTTGCAAAAAAACCAAATGACATAGTAGACAGAAAGATATTGTCGAAAATGACGGTTAGTGAGCTATCAAACAACACCTTTCTGAACAGTTTTACAGTGGAAAGTTCCATCGGAACTGGCAAAGTAGTCTATCCTTTTCGTAGACAAGGAAGTACCATGCGAACAGTGTAGATTAGACAAAGAAAATGAATCGGAGGACCAGCAACACACCAATAAGCTGACATCTACATACACGCGCGCCCCTTTACTACGTGTGGACGTGTTGCACCGTACATGTGTCAATGCGTGAGAATAATCAATATACTTTAGTAAGATTTAATATAAATGATACGCAGGAAAAAAGAACTTATATGTCACATTAATATATATATTTCGCCAGAAATTTTTATTTTTGTACTCACTTTTGACTGTTAGCTATTAATGCTTGACGGCAAAGGCTCAACATTGTTTTGGTATTTCTATTCTCTTTCCTGTATTACTCTTTGCATCAACACCTTCACTTTAATATAAATTCTCTGAAATGAACAATGAATTTTACTTAAAACCAATTGTCGAAAAAGTCAGATGAAAGGTAGCGGATTGTCGAAACTACAAAACTCGACAGTGGCTACGATCGAGCAAATAAGTAAGTGAAACCTTCCCCCTTGTATTCCCCACCCTTCGTCAATTCGACTATGAAACAGGGCCGTAATGAGATTCTATAAAGAAAGGTGTCAGAATTAAGTCGCTAATAAAAATGTATGTAATAAGATAAATACTCATGAATATGTAACGAATATATTAGATATTCAAGAAATATTTGGAAGCTGTTTATATGAATATATTATTAGGAAGCTGTTCTATAAGAATCATGGAAAATAAATTTTAAAAAAATTTAATATTTATAAAATTATTAAGTGTCAACAATGAAATAAACGAATTTAAATGATAACGTAATAAAGATCTTTGTCAGGAAATTAATATTTTTGAAATTTCAGTATAACTGAAAATTATAACTTTAAAAAAAAATATAGATAACAAAGATATAAAATTACAATTTCTCTATTCTAATATTTATGTAGATGTTCTTTGAAAAATTGAAAACAGTTCGTAAATTTTTGCTGTCTTTCGAACATTACTTCATTAGTATTTATGTATATGCAATTCATTATACGGTATATAAAGTACAGCCTATTTAAAAGTCATAATCAAACATTTTTAAATTTCTTTTAGAATATAAAAAATTAAGAAATACTTCATTTTTTCAGGCAGCTTTCAATCCTTTTTTTATTGACTAGAACATGTGCAAGATTTTATTACACATTGATAAAATAAAGAAATAGTTAGATTTTGTACAAAGTTTAATTTAATATTGCAATTATTTAAAATTACATGAAGTATCATCAGTAAATAAACTGCTTTCAATTATCTTCTTGCTGCATTTGTAATTCACGCAATAACTGTGCTCTCTGTTTTTCTAATTCATCTTCTGAAAGTTCATGATGTTCAGCATTTTCAGTAACGGACCCTTCACTATGAGCAGAAGCTCTTCTGTGTTTCTCTTCCTTTCGTTTTCTGTCTGGAGATTCTTCGGAAGATGGAAGTCTCGAATGCGACCGCTGTAAAGAAAATGAAATGAAATGAAATATATAAACTGAATTAAAATTTGTATTGATCACTTATACTTACAGAATGACTGCGACCTCTCTTCTTTTTACTTTTCTTTCGTTTTGATTTTCTAGTATCGGATTCAGAACTGTCCGATTTACTGGGAACACTTGGTGAACGTGATTTATGTCGCTTTTTCTTTAAACCTTTATCACTACCTTCCGACTCCTAAGAAAGAAAGACGTAATTCATCATATTCACACTTTTATATCGTACAATATACTTACACTGTGCGATCGAGACCGTGATTTTCGTTTCACCTTTTTCGTTTTCTTCTTTTTACTTCTAATATGATGGTGACTACAACTTTCTTCAAGTTCGTGTTGGTATTCTTTAAAAATCCTAATTCTTTCACTTTCTAACGTTATTGCTTTAAAATCTGGGTCTTCTTCGATTTTACTTCTAACATCTTCCCATGTCATTTGATAATCAACATTAAGAGTTTTTAGTAAATTTTTGAAACCTGTTTCTAATTTTTTAAATTTCCTGGTTTCTTCTTTTACTCGTTCTTTTTCCCGCGCTTCAGCTTTTTCAAGCAGTAAATTGTATGTTAATTTTACATTTCCAGCATCTAATGTTGCAGATTTTCTATCTTCGCATACTACAGTTGCAAATTCTTCAAAAGTAGTGTTAACTTGCACTTCGAAGTTTTTGTCCTTTAGAATTTCTCTTATAATTTTCTTCTCGTCGTGGAATCTAGATTTTAAATCTTCAACATAAAACTTGAAAAGATCTAAAGGAGTTGATCCAGATTGTCCAAGCATAGCTGAAAATCTTAAATCAGCAGATAACATTGGATAAAGTTCTACCCAAAGTGACATTGATGTTAATTTTCCTTGCTCGTGAAGTTCGTCAAGTAGGCTCTGAAAAAAATTTTTTTTCGCTTAAAAAATAGTTTCTAAAAAATAACATGAAGTTCCAAAAGTTTATAAAACTTACTATAAATGCATCCCTATTTTTCCTTTCCTGTCGTTTTCTACGTTTCTTTTCATGTTCTTTTTCTTCTTCTTCATCTTTTTCTAATTGACGTATATGATTTTCAAATACAAGTAAGGCATCTTCTTTATCCATTTCTAGCAAATCTGCATCTTCTGCAAATGCCGCATGTTGTAAAAGTAATGCTTGTGCTTCTTGCCAAGTGGTCTTATATGTAACATCAGTCATAGTATCCAAAACTTGAGCTAATCTCTTGGTATTTCTTTTTTTCAACTGCTTTGCTTCTTCTTTCTCGCGTTTAGCCAAATTAAAAATGACGTCCTCATAAATATCTCGACGATCCGAATCTCCTACAGATCTCCATACTTCTAAATTGCCAAACATTTCCTCACATTTGTAATACTTTGTTGTACTTGTCATTCTATCGTTTTCTAATAGAAATTGTTCCAGATCCTCCTTAGCTTTTTTTAATCTGTTTGATAAAACATGTTACGTTTTCTTTCTTTCTCTCACATTTCAATCATTATACAAAGCTATACAAAATTACTTACCTTAAACGTTCATGTTCGCGTTCTTCTTTAAGTTTCTGTGTTTTATATGCATTGAATGCTTGTTTGCGTTCATTTAATTTCTTCATTTGCGGATACCTAGGATCACTTTGTATTAATTTTACTGCTTGTTCCCATGTAGCATTTGATGGTACATCTCTTTCCCTTAATAATTCTTTAAATGCTTCAATTGCTTCCTTTTTATCTTTAAATTGCATTTTTGGTTCAGGAGTGCTAGTACGGCTATCATTTGCTGATCCTTTTGCAGAATTACTATCTTCATCTGGCTTTGCAGGTGGAGTAGGAATGTTTATTGCTGCAAGTGTTGCAGCCATAGCTTGTTCAATGGCAGATTTTCCACCTGGTTCTGGTGTACTAGTTTGAGATGTATTTGTGATTGCTACATTTGGAGATAAATGTTGCATACCAACAGGAACTATACTGAAAGATCAAGATATCGGTAATTACTTCCATAATCTTTATTTTCTCCTTGTATAATTGTTTTATTATCTGTATATTTTACTAACGTATTTGTAGCACTTGCTACAACCACTGCAGCTGCTGCTGCTGCTTCTTCAGCTGCAATTCTTGCTTTCAGTTCTTCTAATTCTTTAGGAATAGTCCATCTTGATTCCTTAGTTGTTACATTATGATAGTATACTTTTCCATTCTCTGACTTATATTCTTTCCAAGGACACTGTGATAATAATAATTCACTAGGTGTTTTTAATTCATCTGGCTTCTCCCATAAAGATTGTTTTGTAACACTATTATAATAATATGTTCTGCCATCTGGGGCTTTATGTTCAGTCCAATCAGTCTTTTTTTCTGTTGCAATAGGTTGTACACTTGATGTAGCTTCGCTTGCAATAGGTGCTGGAGGAGGAATACCTGGTGCGGTTATTTGAGGAGGTGCAGCTGAAATATAAGGCACATTTAAATAAAACATATTAGTCCTAAACATTTAGAAAAAACTTTTTATGTGAAAGTACTGACCTATCACTCCAGTATCAGGTGGAGGAGCACCGGTAATTGGAAAACTAAAACCAGGAGGAGGTATGGAAAATTGTGGAGGCATTATACCTGGTGGACCAGGTGGTAAACTAGGAGGAGGTATAAATGGTGCAGTGGGTATAATTGGTGGTACAAAATTAGAAGCAATATTTGGAGTTGCTGATGGAAACCCAGGTACTGCTGCAGGTGGAGGTATACCATCATTGGAAGCCTATAGAATATTATAATATAAACTTATTAAATTATAAATAAAATTTTAATCATTAGAAATGATAAACTATCTGTACCGAAAAATGTATTTTAAGAAAGTAGGAGTTACTTTGTGAGCACACTTGTTATTAATTTTATTATCAGTAAACTAACAAAACAAATCATAAAAATGAATACAATGAATTGTTCTATTTCAAAATACATTCAGATTACGACAAATTTAAATAAACTCATTGTCTATAAAACTAGCAAGTAAGGTTATCAATTACTACAAATTTACTTTAGGTTTATAAATGCCATACCATTTCTACAAGAATAAAAATATTCCTTCGCGTAATCAAATCATTGAAAATAAAATTATTGGTTAAAAGTCAATGCGTTTAATTCTTTGTAAATCAAAGAATTTAAATAGTAATACACTACTTCATGCATAAAGTGTACCAGATTATGTTTGTATTTCAACAGTGATTACAGATCCAATAAGACTGGACATGCTTTTGTTATTAATGGGTTACGATTCTGAGGGTACCTAGTACCCCAAGGTAAGGTGCGGTCTGCGTGGGTCCGTTACCTCCATGAAGCTAGTCGGCGGAAATAATAAAATATGATTTATTTTTAATTTTTCTTAGTGTATTTTGTTTGTAAATCGTTTATGATTGATTGTGAGTCTATTTTCAACATTTGTGACAAATTAGTTCTTTTGTAATTAGCGAATTTATTTCAGTCATAATGTCAGCCATTTTAGTAATTTTCAGAAACTTTTTAGTAATTTTTTATAATAAACAGATTTTGTGATAACTGATAACTGCAATTGATTGGAAATAGTTTGTGATTTTCAAATATATCATTTTCATTGTTTGTGAGTGAATAATTTCTTAATTATTTACAAGTTTGTTTTATAATTAATTGTAGTGCGCATGCGCAAAATATACTCAGGACTCTTGCCAACAGAGAGCGCATCGGCGCGTTACGTGTGGCAGCCCTGCCCACGCCTGCCAACATTCGCGAGCAGCGTTCTTGGGTGGAGGTCGTTCAGGCGACAGCCGCAAGAGGCGCGAAGAGCAGCCGACGCCACGTGCTATGAATAAACGAGACAGCCATCTACTTCTCAGTCAACGGGGACTTCCCACCAAAACGTGGCGTCTGAAATAGTCTGTACGAAAAGCATCGCCCCATACGTGGGTTTCTGTAAACGAGCGAAAATAAAAGCATTCATCTGACGAGTACAGTAAAAGCTGGATATATGCAACAAAAGTTTGGCTGGATATATGCACCATCGCT